CCCAGGGTAGCTATGTAGCTGTGGTTTTCAAGCTAAATTCAAGGTGGCCTGAGACCACGGTTTGCTGCCCTAAAACACTGTGTTCAGGCCACCTTGAAAATAAAGGTGTAGTTGGCACATTTCCAGGTATAGACACCCAGGGTAGCTATGTAGCTGTGGTTTTCAAGCTAAATTCAAGGTGGCCTGAGACACGGTTTGCTGCCCTAAAACACTCTGTTCAGGCCACCTTGAAAATAAAGGTCTTGTAGCTACAATTCTGTTCCCAGGTATGGCGCGCATGAGGCTTCAAAGCTGTGGTTTTGAAGATAAATTCAAGGTGGCCTGAGACCACGGTTTACTGCCCTGAAACACTCTGTTCAGGCCACCTTGAAAAGAAAGGTGTAGTTGGCACCTTGCTTGCAGCTACCAGGTATAGTACTTCAAGTTCCCTTTCCGTCAACCGCTCGATAGCCTCTACACACGCACAGCAATCCACAGCTTTGAAGTCTCATTCGTGCTTTGAACTTGTGTAGGTGTGTAAGAGGTCTCACGGCCGCCTCCACCTGGCAAATGCCAAGCGGAGCTGCCGTAGAGAAATGAAAGAAAATGGAGTGGGATGGTGGATCTAGGGTGCAGACCTACCTTTCTATCCTATGCTTCGACGCGCAGTTCTCGAGAAAGGGAAGCGCTGGCTTTCGTTTTGCAGCTTCTCAGGTGGTTGTTGCTTATTCTCAGCAATTTATATAGAGGGAAACGGAGACAGACACAGATTGAGCCGGCTTGCCAAGTCAACCTGCGATACCGACTTGACCACGGCTACGAGTGCAGAGGCTGCGGCAGAGGGTTTCCACTTGCTACTTACTGGAGGAAGCAATAGCAGAATGTGAGTTCCATGCTCATAAGTTCATCGGGAAGAACAGATCAGGGACATCCCAAGCGGATCCAGACATGGAGATATGCAGCCACTCGAAAGTGCATCATGCGCAATCACATGCAGTTTCACTTCACTGGACTCGACCATTTCAGTTTGGTGGAACATATGGCCCATGTCAGGCGAGCTGTGCAAAGGTGCCAGCCTCCATGGTCGGACCACAAGCTCGACGGATTAGCCGAGGCAGAGCCATATCATATCTCAACAGTTAACTCCGTAGCAATAAAGAAAATACAGAAGAATCTAATTGCAATGGCCTCCGACTTAATAGCGATGGCCTCCCCCTACTAGCGATTGCTTCCAACCTATGGTAATTTTTCATCACACACGTTGGCAATCAATTGCCCTACAGCAGAGTGGCAATTTGTTGCATAAGAGAACGAAGTCATAAAGAGAGGAAAGCAATTGTTCTTTCTGGGTGTTGCTGCGATGCTTGTTGTTCCACTTTAGACATGTGCCATGTGATGTCAATAGTAGCGATGCTTTTCAGGGCGGAGTGTCAGCTGCAGGAGTCTCCAGGAGCCTAACTGAAACCCAAAAGCCTTCCCTTTATTATGAATCGTAATGGCATATCACTGTGGAGGTCGTCTTGCAGCGGGGCAGAAGGAAACTCCTTCATCATGGACTAGCCAAAATGTAATTTTACAGTATATGACACCTGAAGAAGGCCAGATAGAATTCACATGCCTCTTGTACTGTAGTAATGCAGCAGCCTTCATGTAAACTGCTTTTGAGCAATTGTTTGCTGTGTTTGTCCAACACGGTGAACACTTGTCGTTTTTCCAGGTCGGCAGTGGTTTGGTTGTTCCAAAGTGGGAAAGTATGACAAAGTCCATTCTTGATGGTAATAACACTCGCTGCATTACAACTCTTGCGAAGTTGATGCAGCCGTTGAACTCGCCGGGAATGATAGCTTCAGGATGGGTTGGCGATGTGGCATGTGATTGACAAAACCTCATTTTGAAGGTGTGTGTGTGTGTCACCCCCTGTACCAAAGGGTCCAATGCCACCGTTTCCATTACCACCACTTAACAAGGCAGGGGGCCATCCCCCTCCCCAGTGGCGGATGGCCAACGAAGAGGCCACTGGGGGGGGCTGCAAATGTACCTGCCGAACTGTTGTACAAGCTGTCACTCCACTCTTTCTTTGTTTGTTTCCATGGTGGTTCATGCTACTTCCCCTAAACCCTTTCCCTTGCCGCTCGCGCGTGTCGTCGTCGCACCACTGCAGATGAGAAACTTCAATGTTAAAACACCTTCAAGTCTTTGGACCTTTCACCATGCCGTTCCATCGCCTTCCTTCTCAACGTGGGAACTGAGTGTAACTGAAAACCAATGTCAGAGTGTGTTCCGCTCAGCCGTCCCACTCGGGTGCTGAGTGTGATCCCCGTCACTGGGGCGCTGAATTCATGCCGGAAGTCGTGTAACTGAGCTTTTCCACTTCTCACAGGAATTCACCACTTGATCAACCTTAACTGAATTTACTGCTTCCAAGGCCGCTGGGCCAAAAAACGGGATTCTCTCAGTCTGCCACATGCCGCTAAGTATTCACCAGTCCATGTCACTCTGCTAAGTATTCACAGGCCGGACGAATTAATCGTGCGCCCCCTCCCTGCCCCTGGGCCTCCTCTGCTATCCCACCCGCTACTGAGCAACAGAAGGAAATCGCACTCAACACACTTGTGTGTGTTGGTGCCTTTCCTTCTGTTTCTCCTAGTCTATTGCTAGCTACCCGGGCGGTTTAAGACGAATGTCCCGCTCGCAAACTACTTTCGTTTAACTAAGTGGGCCTCGTAACTACACCTATCTTTCTTGCTTGCCCTCTTAGTCTGCTTTTGTTTTGTTTGCTTTGTCTGTCTTTCTTTGGCTTTTTAGGTGACTAATAGTTTTTCGCTGTGCCAACAATTGGCGCTTTCTGTACATATGTTCCCCGGGGAGTCAGGACGCTACTGGAGGCCCCTGGCCTCACTACTACTTTGCTAGGGGAGACCGCGCCGAATACGGCTATGTGTGTGTGTGTCACCCCCTGTACCAAAGGGTCCAATGCCACCGTTTCCATTACCACCACTTAACAAGGCAGGGGGCCATCCCCCTCCCCAGTGGCGGATGGCCAACGAAGAGGCCACTGGGGGGGGCTGCAAACGTACCTGCCGAACTGTTGTACAAGCTGTCACTCCACTCTGTTTCCATGGTGGTTCATGCTACTTCCCCTAAACCCTTTCCCTTGCCGCTCGCGCGCGTCGTCGTCGCACCACTGCAGATGAGAAACTTCAATGTTAAAACACCTTCAAGTCTTTGGACCTTTCACCATGCCGTTCCATCGCCTTCCTTCTCAACGTGGGAACTGAGTGTAACTGAAAACCAGTGTCAGAGTGTGCTCGCCAAGGCTCCACAATTTGTATCAATTTATTTTACATGCGTTTAGTCTAGTCTTATATAGTGACATAGTGCAGGTGAAACAGGTTAAACACATTCATTTCAGGGTTTCCTATCGTCCTAATTTGTCCTCATCCCTGCAAACCTCCAGACTCAAACCGTGATGTCTTCGTCATGGAAACGTCCTGGCCCGCAAGTCCTACAGTTCGTTGACTGAACTGGGGTTGGCCCTAGCCCACCTAGTTGGAAAATACTGTATCCCAAAGGCTCCAGAAGCCCGTTATGCACCCAGCGGCAGGTTCGGCATTTGACAGCATTGAGGACTTTGCCGAATGGTTGCCAACACCTTGAATGTGAAGTTAGGCGAAGTTAGGTTGATCAGCCTCAGGCCACTGTAGGGTTCAGTGTCAATCCTGGTTTTTCGGATCTGCCAACTGTCTGCCTCGCCAGCAACTGGCTTTGGCCACCTGGTGATGGATGTCCTGATGCTCGAATCGATTTTGTAGTAGCTTCTTGAACAGTTTTGGTCACGTCTCGACGCCGCTGAAAAGCGCGTTATTCTTTACTGCTGTCGAACTGACTACACGGTGGAGGATTGACCAAGGGAGCAAGGCTGCAGCTGGCATCTCCGGTCATGTCTGGAGGTGCTGAATCATCAAAAACCAATCACCATCGATCACCTGATTCTCAGCATTGCTCCTTTGGTGCACCTTTGCCCATCTTTAGTTAGTCTCTTTGTTTTCCTTCCTTGCACATGGCACCCTCCGCTCAAACTGTTTAGGCCAAGTCCTACTCACCACGATGCCATTGTTGAATCTGCGCTTGTTCATCTTGGATGGAGGGAGCCTCATTTGGGATGCATCTTGCCAGTGAGAGCAATGTGCAGCCCTCCTGTGTCACCTGATGTTCTGTCACGGCTGAACGCCGCAATTCGTTGTTTTAAGTCTGACAAAGTGCAGCTGAGGCATCTGTCAGCTCCAGCGAAATCCGATCTGTTACTGAGTATGCATGAGTATGCCATATACGCCCAATACGCCCAATACTACAGTATCAATACTTGTTTGTGGGTCCTATTCGCAGACGCGAAGCCATCAAGATTTCTGGAGCCTGCAGAACTCGCATTGCCCATGCAACAAAATTGTGGCAGATTGTGGCAGCAAAGCCTCGTTGGGCAGATCTCACAGTCAAGCTGTTTGTGATGGTTTATCAGGCTACGCCTGTCACCAGGCATTGCATGTCAGAATCAAGTCAGGTTTGCGGTTTGCTTGAGAAAGCCAGTGGCCAGTCCGCATCTGAACTTATTGAATGTAATTAATTATTAGGTGCTGTCAAATTTGGACATATTTATATAGTCTTTAGATCTATGTATATATATATATGCTAAATCCATCAGTTCAAGGCATCGACTTTGCAATGCCTCTCGTTGCCGCTCTACTTCGATCGTTCACAACTGGCCATGGGCCCGCTTGAACGATTAGTGTCACTGGGCAATGGCGGCACTCCACATGAGGCGCTGAAGCGCCTTGAAAACGCACTCTCTTTAAGACGCACCCCTGTCTCAGCACTCTTCCTCTTAATCAAGGGGGTTTTCATGGTGCCAGGTCCGCAGAGTCTTGGACTCCGAGCTGCAGACATGGACCACTTCCCCGAGAAAGGCGAAAGCCGTCGAAAGTACCAAAGCGATGCGAGTGATGCGAGGAGTGGCACCCTTGACTCAAGATGCAGCGCACAATCCATGAAATACTGATAGAAAAGAGATGCAGAGAGGGCTTTTGGTGAATGACTTCGCATATCACCGCCATGTGTTATGACACAAGTGAGATGCACGAATTGTTTCGAGAACTTAGGAATGATAATGGTGGAGACTATGTTTGATATTGTGTTATCAACTTGTGTTATCAACTCATTTCAGTTTGGTGGACGTTTTGGACTTGTCGCGACAGTGCACATCACTGGAACATGTTCCCGTCCAACTGCAGCTGCAGCTGCGGGATTTATATACAGTAATAACTTAATCCGTGTTTTGCACTCGCTAGGCCACCATGTTTTTGAGCACCCTAGCGCAGAAGAAGCATCTTGGTATGATCTTGGTACGGGTGCGTGTTAGTTCTCACCGGCAGATGGAATGCCTCCCAGTGTGAAGGCAGCCTGAGCAAGCTTTTAACAAGATTACGCGGAATCATGTGGAAGATTCTGTGCAAAGTCTTAGGAAAGAATTAGCAAACATTAGCGATGCTGAGTTGCTGGTGTCCAAGGTTTCCCGACTTGGCTTTGAACGTTGTGGACACCATGCAGCTTGTCAGAATGTCAGGCCGCCTCTGACACTTCGGTAAACAAATGCGCCACTTGAAGCCAATTCTTGCTAAGTTTCTTGCTACACAGAATGCCGTCCTTGATTCTTCGCCCGTTCGGTCCCAATCTGCAAGTTCACCGAGGAGAGCGACTGCTGTGGAAGTGAATTCTATCCATATAAGTGACCCGCTTCAAGTTCAAGAGTATGCTGAACTTTGCAGTCCTGTCTTTTGCACAGTAAACTCAGTAAACTTCCGCTGCAGCTGAACATGCGACAGGATTCTTGCTGAGCTACAACTTTCTTAAATCAGGGATGTACTTTTGCTGAATAGCAGGTTGCAATTTTGGCGTCTAGGACCTCACATGTTTCGATGTGGGCTGAGAGCTGGGGGTGAATATGGGGGTGAATCCCACGCCAGTCCAGAAGCTATGGGGCCTGGGTGTTTTTAACGGACTGTGACCGACATGCTGCAAGCCGTTGTTATTTCCACTAGGAAATGACAGGACCTAGGTCCCCTAGAAGATCAATTTTATCTAGGCAGCTATTTGTACACACATGGTTGATGCCCTAGCATTTTCTATGAAACTTGCAGATTGAACATCTCGCGGATGCATTTTTGCATTCTCTAGCAGTTAAGTAATTTGAGAGTGATGATGATAGGTGATTGTCATTGGGTTTTGCATTTTCTAGGAAGCTTAAGCAACCTGCCATGGGCAGGTGCAGTGGTGGGGGCTGCAGCTCGATCTGCTCGCTGGACTTTGGCTCTTTGGTTGTTGCAAAGTCCGGAGCTCTTGGCGGATCCCAATGTGACTTGGCAGCTCGGAAGCTGGGACCGGCTACGATTTTAATGATTTACTTTACAGGACCCTGGGAATCCGCAAGATGCATCAACATGCAAGGTTTTTGCCTGGAATGCTGGCATCAGTGCTTGTGAAGCAGGCATGGTGGACAGTTTTGGTCCATTGCCATGCCTTTGCTGCATGACCAGAGGTGAACCTCTCTGAGAAGAAGGAGTTTCCCAGCAACATACCTACAGTATCCTACAGTAATTGGTTCGCCCACCTTTTTACGCAGCCGTAAACTGCAGTAGGAACAAGAATTTGCTGGTCGCTAGCTAGAGGAACTCTTAGCTCTGCCCAATGCATGGGACCAACTGCCACTTCAGATGCTTCAGGAAATTGATCTCATTGACCTGAAACACGACCTCTGCAAGAACCTGGATTCCAGCTTCCAAACCGCCACTAGAGTCACTAGAGGGTGAGAATTGGATCGGCAGGCAAGGAGTGGGAACGTGCCCTGTTGCTCTTCGAGTCCATGCCTGCAGCGGGAATTGAACCAGATAAGGTCAGCCGCTTGTCCGGAAGGCTCCCATGGAGGTTTTGGTGTGCTTGCATGTTTATTTGGTACTTTTGCATGCTCTTGCCTTGAACTGCCATGCGCTGTCAGCAGGGCCAACCAAACTTTGACGCAAAAGGATTTGGCCTTGGCCTTACTACTAGGAGCAAGGACGCTACTAGGGGCTCCTGGCATCGCTACTAGCAGCAAGGACGCTACTACGGGCTCCTGGCCATACTACTAGGAGCAAGAAGCTACCGTGAAGGATCTCACCTGGGACATCGCCGTATCACTAACATGATATGCCAGCGTATGAGGCAGAAATGCCGCAATCAGTGCTTGCAAGAGTGGGAGCAATTGGCAGCTGGCCGTTAATTTGCTTAGGCCAGGCGTACTGCCAACGTGGAGATTGCTTTTGTATGACTAGTATTTCGTAGTATTTCGGGAAGTGGTGTTGCGCTAGGGTCCAGAGAAACCGCGCTTTCTTTGACATCAGGAGTTTTGACTCGGCAGATGTGATTAGTTTTGGTGCTGCAATCACCGCTTGTGAGAAGTGTGGGATGTGGGAAGAGGCGCTGTCCCTGGCGGAAAGCATGCAGGCTTGCTCCTTGGTACACCTGCAGAATCCCACACACAGGACCTAACCATAAGAAACCATTCCCTTTGGACATGAGGACAATTTGAGGGGCCTGCGGCATACCTAGGCCAGGCGGATCTCCTTGGATTTGGTGTGCCCCTTGGCTTCAGAGCTGGTTCTCACTGGCGCAGCCAAAACATGACCTGCAGCCGAGGCTACAATGCTATGATGAGTGCATGTCAAAAAGGCCAGCAGTGGCAATGCACCTTAGGCAGGGTCAAGCAGAATTGTGTATGACTACCGAAGATACCTGGCCTCCTTTGCTGGATGTTAGTCTAGATTCTAGATGTTGTCCGGCTGCAGGCCTCCTATTTCGGATGCCACTTGCTCGGCTTTCCCCAGATGTGGTCTCCTTCAATGCAGCAATCACCGCATGTGAGCAGGGAAGTCAGTGGCAGCTGGCCTTATCTATATTGACGCTTGGTGAGGAGCTTCACCAAAAGTGCAACAGGTGATGATTTCTGCAGAAAACATGTGATGTATTGTTTTTGCCAAGCACTTGATTGTGGAGACAAGATGTTCGCAACATTTGCCTTGAGGGCTACTATGCCAGCATCACGGATTTCACCAGACCTAATGACCTTCAATGCCATGATCAGTGCTTGTGCCTCTAGCGCCCAGTGGGAACTTGCTTTGAGTACCTTGAGGGAGGCATCAATTCAATACATGCCCGACACAATCAGAGCTTTGGCATCACCAGCTTAGCATCTTTCCCAAGGTCCACTTACCTGTCACGGTTTAAGTTGTGCAACATGAAAATGACCACCATCAAGTCTTCAGTGGGCTTATGACATAGACTGTTCGCACTACGCACCAATGAGGAAAGTCAGTGCATTTTGTCGACCTAGGTTTTAGCGCTGCCATTACTGCCCTAGAGAAGGGCTGTCAATGGGAGATGGCTCTCAATATCTTAAGAAGAATGCCGGAGGCGGCTTGTGTTGTGGGACTTCAAGCAGTGCACATCTTCTTCAGCGACACAGACAAGGATGCGTAGAATTAAAAGAAGTGAATTTTAGTGTATCAATGCCACACACATATATATATACTGTGTATATATATATACACATGTTTTATTGGTGTGTGGGATGTATGGATTATATAGGTCTAGGTGCCTGAATGTATGAATGTTATGCAATGTAATGTTGCAGATGGATGGATGGATGGATGGATGGATTGTATTGCATATATGGTATGTATGGTATGTGTGGATTGATGCAATGTATAGTGACGGACATAGGCTTAGAACATTATTTGGAAAAAATGAAACGCTCAAAACAGCCGAGGAGCTTGATACATAGAACATTGCAAAAACACACTCTTAGAACAAAAAAACCTGAGACACTTAGAACACATTCTGCACATTCGGAATATTGTTAGATGTGGGTAAGTTAATCTCCTATCAAATGCAAGGGGTTGAGGCAATGTTTTCGTTTTATGGGGACTGCTTGTCCCCGTATGACCCTTGGGGTGGCTACCCCACTTGGTTGAAAAAGAACATGCTTTTGACAAAAGCCTTTTGTGATCTGCAGCACTGCAGGGTGCAGCAGTAGACGGGTGCCGCAATGGCTTGCCTGCCACCTATGCCGCCCCCGGTAGGTCCTCCCCCAGAGGAATTGCCGGCTGGTGTGACGGAATTCAAGTATGGGAGGCTTTGCTGCACAAGCAAACACAACATATTGATTATTTATATACAAGGATAAGAGGGTATATGTTGACACCTTCCGTCTTTATATAAAAATCCATTTGGGTGTCTAATGTTCTAAGTGTACATTCCACAAGCAAATATGTTCGATCACCCTGCTGAATTGTGAAACTATAATATAGCAAACACAGGTGGATCCAAAGTTGAAGGCTAATAAAACTTGTCCAGCAATTCATCTGTCTCAAAGAAGCTGAAAAACATAAAGGCCGCTCACCCGTCTTTATACAAAATCCATTAGGGCCATTAGGGTGTAGAGTTGCAATGTTCTAAGTGTGCATTCCACAAACCAAATATGTTTGATCACAATGTCGAACTATTAAGCTATAATACAGCCACCAACATAGGTGGATCCAGAGTTGAAGGCCAATATAACTTTTCCAACTTCTCTCAAGAAAACGTTGAACGACATGACATACCTTCTTATCTGGTTGTGGGGTTCCATTGTTCTAAGTGTTGCTTTCAAGAGCTATTTGCCCTTGCCATGCTGAAAAACATTTGAAAACACACACACATATATATATATATATACATATATACAGCACATACATTTGAACAGGTGTCTTTCTCTAAGAAGGGGTATCGTTTGTGAGGCCAAGGTTCCTTCCACCTCAGCGTTCGGGTCATTCGTGTTGGGAACATATGGAAATTTGTCAAGTGTATATAGAGATCCGTTAGCTAAGGATGCAGGTGAGGATGGTTTCACATTCCCGGAAGTTCTTGAAAAAGAGCTTTCCATCCGACGGAGCTATGAGGAATGCAGCGCTCGCTTATCATAAATCCTTGGTGCAAGCAATGAATAAGTTTGACACTCTGAAGGGTCAGGCTGGTGGACTTTAAAAACTGCATGCGCAGTAGGGCGTATATTGAATGTCCCAGCCTGTTTGTTGAAAGTATATAATTTTGCGCAGGTAGATCAGATCAAAGTATGTGCATATCTATTTATATATATATATATGTATATAGACCTTTTGATCATGATGGCTTTTGTCAGGCCAGGACTACTTGGCTTCGTTCTATCGGAGGTATCTACTCTGCTTCAGTAACCTTGGCCAAGCAAAAGCAGCACTTGATGGCAAAGTTTGCAGACGGAGATATTTGCCATGCGGAAGAGGCAATTCTAGCATCTGTAGACATGTCAGCAGTGCTCTTTGGGCAGTCATCAGTTTCGGTGAATGGGAAAAAGTATGTGGCCAACTTTGATGCTGGCGAGGAAGTCATTTCCAAGCGCTTTGACACAGTGTTGGCTGTTCATGATTGGTTGCTGAGCATGAACCGCTCTTACAAAAGTGGGTCCTTACACCAAAGCATGCGCCAAGTTGAGCAGTCTGTAGCAGCAGGAGTAGCTTTGGAAAAAGCTGCTGGTCAGCTCAGTGAGACGCAGCAAAATCCATTACCAGAGCTTGTTGCCGGCTTGAGCAATGTGGATGTGACAGCAGAGTTTTTCCACAAGAAAAAAAGTATGGAAACAGACCTGCCCATGTCAGTACAATGCATCCACAGAGGCAGCTTGAACACAGTCACAACTTTAGCAAGCTCCCAGCGAGGTTTGTGCGCAGTTCTCTTGGGAAAGACTGCGTGGAACAAGAAATTCCATTGCGCACAAGTTGTCCTCTCTCCTTCCCACAGTCTGGAGGAATCGGTGGCACATGAGAAAATCACTTCTCGGTGTGAGCTTCAGGGTTTGAAATCCTGTGGTGGGATTGTGGTGTGGTCCAAGGATGATTGGAGTGATGAATCCAAGAGAGTAGCTGCTTTGAAATTGTTCCAGTCGGAGCATCCCTTCTTGGTGAACCTCGACTTTTCGACACGCCTTACCGGTGAACGAGAGTGTGTAGAGCTTCAGGAAGATGGAACCATCACACGTGTTGCTCTGTCATGGACGACTCAACCCAGAGAGACCACACAAAGACTGCTTTACAACACGTGCTTTTTGGAGGATTTGGCAACGTCTCACATTGCAGCTGCCACGGCTAAGATTGCAGAAGCTATAGTGCGGCATGTACGCAGCAAGGTCAGCGCACAACAAGCACGAACAGGACAAAATGAGACTCGGAAGTTGTTTCGCAAAGTGAATGTGATTGCAGACGGCAGATGTGGGTGGCACGCTATTCTGGCAGCAGCTGATGTGCAGCGGTATGAACGCACCCCACGAGATCCTACCTCTGCCTACCCCCTGAACCCTCGTATAGTTCAAGAGGAGGTTTTGCAGGCAGAACATTTTCAGTTGGAGGCATGCGGCAAGGCCCTTGATCAGCTGGATCCGTGCTTTCACTCCCGCATTGAGTCTGTGATCGAAAACCCAAGTTTTACACCACATGATCTGGAGTGGATTGCTCAAGCACTCGACGTTCAGATCCGCTGCACTTGTTGCAAGGAGGCCTGGTTTGTGTGTATACAAGAACATTAATTTTATCTAATATAGAAGTAGTTCTATGGACTTTCCTGGAAGAGAGTTGCATATAAAGATATATAGAGTAACCTGTTTGTATATTGGGGGTGCAAAGGCATGTTGGCATTGTTCTAAGTGTGCGTACGCCTTGCCCACAGGTTGGTGCTTTGTCGGATGGCACCAGCTTGGATGCTGTCTATGGTTGTTGCGAAAGCGGTCCTTTGATTCACTTGCTGTTCCACTTTGAGCAAGGTGCTGGCGACAAGTGTCAAAGTTTTGGTCACTACAGCCTTCTGGTACCTGCAAGCACGCCTTCCAAGCGCACCCTGATGCTTTTTGAGCGTGTTCCTTGACCAGCCATCGGTTTGTTTGTGTTGAAGCATGTTGCAAACCGAAACTATACTGTTTTATCTGGAGTTCAATCGACCTCGTCTCACCCTACTCTTAGTGTCTTCCTAGGTCATTATATATATATATATTTATATATACACACTGGTATATATATATAGTGCAATATATGTACTGTATATCAATATCTTAGCAGTCTTAGAACAAATATATATATAGAGAGAGATATATATATAGTGGATTAAGATATATTATTTATATATGCATGTATAGATATGAAAACACCAGACCTGCTGACAAGGTAAGTGATGAGCGCAATGCTGAGTCCATCAAGTTCCTGCAGCTCATGGCAACGGGGGAACAAGCAACCTCAGCAACAAGCATGGGAGATGGAGAACTTTGTGAAGGAGCATCAACAAGCACCACAGGCCAGTCGGGAGAAGCAGCAAAAGTAGAGACAGCACGCGGCATCCAAGAAGTGCCACCAGAAGTAGCAAACAAGGCAGAAGCAGGAGCCAATGCACCAGCCAGTCACTTGGAAGCAGAGCCAAAGCCATCAACCAATCCGGCTGCAGCCGGTTCAGCAAACATAGCAAAAGCAGATTCAGGATTGCTATCGGAAAGCAAGGATCCACACTCCCTTGCAAGCACACAAGGAAATGCACAGCAAGCACTTAAAACTTCTCAGCAACGCAGGCAACGCAGGCTGCCTGCATCCTTTTCAGCAACCGAGCCAAACGTGGCTTTACAAAACAAGCAGGCGATGGAAGTTGCCCAGTTGAGCCCTTCTGCACCAGCAGCTTCAGCAGCAT